GGACCTTTAACTAACTGAGCTACCTCTTCAACGAAAGTGTTCTGCCCCAACTGTGCTACAGTTACATACTAAATGGACATCAAGGGTGGTTCCTATTTCCCCCACCACCACTGTAGGTTTCCGCACTCCCGACTCATTGGATAAAGCTTCTAGGATTTGGTCTACATATTGTTGGTTACCCACTACTGGGTAACGCCCTGGACGTGATTTCATTGGTCAATCTTTGATTTATGATGTCACATTACAATGCTTTTCGACGTCATTCTCCATTGTGACGTCATGCTCCATGACAATTGATTCCCCATCGAAAACACACATGATGTTTTTTCCAAGGGGAAAATGTGCTGTTATGTTCAGTTAAAATACGAACGTTATGGGAGAAACAGGTCCCCAAACTCGTGATGATTGCAATTGGTTATCACGTTTATCTAACTCTCGTTAGTTAATTTTCAAATTGTAAAAGACACTCAGTAAACTTCGTTTCTTTATACTATTTGAAGATTAGCTAACCCGAGTTAAGTAAACATGATAACCAACCATTACTCGCTGGGGAACCTCGATATTCTATATTTTTGCCACTACCCCGTTATGTGTTAATGCACTACATATGTTTTGATATTTATATACGATTCAATGTACATTGTAGTGAGTAAATGTCATTAATAATAACGTTTGGGCGAAGTCTGTTCACCATCGTGACTCTCTCTTACCGGAAATCAGAACTAGATTGTATACAATAATAATAAGAATAGAATACGGACAAAAATATCCGGAAGTAATTTTTTATATATAAAAAAATGTAAATGTATACTTATTTGTTAATATATATGTATGACGAGTACTGATACTTGATCGAATATTTTCAACAGTATGTACATTATTTAAAGGTGATTCTAGACGCCCAAGTACATCGTATGTATATATATATGTTTACGTCATAAAATTTTGGAAAATATAATTTAAAAAAAAAAGGATGAAATGTCATTAATGTTTGCTTAGTTTACTATATGGCGGGAAGTTTGGCGATCATGATGCTTAAAGTGATCGATAACGAAGCTATATGTTAAGCAAGCATGAATGTCCTTGATTTTGATTCGATGTTCAGATCCTATGTATATCACAAAAGTAGTTTGTTGTCCTATAGCAACAAAAGTTTGCTCGTCTGTGAAAATTGTCTGTTGATCTAAATTTTGGTTTTTAGAATCCTCGTAAGGATACCTCTGTCTGGTTTTTTTGTTTTATTTCTGTGAAAAAACCCACTTACGTATCTAATACAACATATTGTTTGACGTCTGAATAGCATTTAACGTTTAAATATTCATTGAAAATAAATATCAAATCGTTCTTTTCAAAGAGACAGATAGAGAAACGGACGGAGAGAGAGAGGGAGAATGAGAGAGACACTCAGGTAGAAATAGAGACACGCAGACAGACAAGAGACACAGAGAGGGGGAGAAAGAGAGAGACATTCAGGTCTCAGGCAGGGAGATAGAGAAAGACAGAGAGACAGAAACACATACAGATAAAGAGACAGATAGAAAGACGGACACAGAGAGAGGGAGATAGAGAGAGACACTCGGGCCTCAGGCAGAAGGATACAGAAAGACAGAGAGACAGAAACACATACAGACAAAGAGACAGAAAGAAAGACGGACACAGAGAGAGGGAGATAGAGAGAGACACTCGAGCCTCAGGCAGAGAAATAGAGAAAGACAGAGAGACAGAAACACATACAGACGGGCACACAGATAGAGAGAGTGCGGCTCCTTCAATTTGCCTTTGCCGAGTGACGGTTTTATCGCAACCTATTTTTAAATTGGGTACTGATAAATCATTCAGATGGCAAAAAGGAATTAGCTTCTAATTGTAATTATCAATCTGGAAAGTACAATAGAGAAATATTTTCAATCTAACCTCCATATTGATAATAATGTGTCAGAAACAATACACCATCGAAAACCGCATACCAATACACATCAATGGTCTGCCTTTATAACAAGGCGCTTAAAGTGTCAGCAACAACTTCTAGAGTAACAAACTCAATGCGTTATTGGCAACGTTGGGACCATGAACTGATTACACAGGTTATTTATGGATATTTTATGACTTATCAAAACAAACAAAATCACAAAAGGAGCAGCGGCAATTTTTAAAAGTCAATCACTGTGCTTAAAATAGTTTGCTTGTGGGTATAATATATTCCGTAGTTTAATCATTTATTGCGCCGTAGAAAATAAAAGCAGCCTATTAAATAGTTACTTTGTTCACTCTCTATACCCTAGGCGGACTCGTTCAATAGAAGGCAATACACGATGAATAAGGAAACTACAATGTTATTACAAATGATTTCCCCTTTTAAATATTCATGCATCGTCCATATACTTAAATTTAATGATCAAATGAATCTAGTCAAGCTGTGTGCAGTTATAAATATTCATTAAATCATGTAAGAGAAAGGAATAAAATTATGAATACTTTATTTTTGTGTTAATAACCCAGGTATGGCTGCTAGTATTACTTCTCCAGAGTAGTTAAGTGTATCCGTCAAACACCAGTTAAACGAACCATCGTTAACTAAAGGAAAACTAAACTAAAAATTTATAATTATTTTTTACAGTAATGGCTTAGCTTTTAGGGGGTTTCTTTCGAAACATAAGTTATGCTGTCCAAAAGAGAATCCTAAGACATGGGATTTCCTTAAAGATCCCCGCACGGCTCCTAAAACTTGTAACTAAGTACGGAAACTGTTTTATCAATTTTCGAAATGAAAACCAAACCTTGTGGGACATTTATTAGAAATAATAGACATAAAATAAACAAAATATAATTAACAACGGTGTTTTAGGTGTAAAAATTCAGAGGAGCTAGCAAGAGATTTGAACCCAGGGCCCGTATTCATGAAACCGTTCTCATGCTCAAGCATGGATTTTGTGCTCAAGCCTAATTTTCTTGTTCTTGTTGTAACTTAATAAATACATCTTGTTTTGTCAATGCTTTGGAAACATTTTGAAGAGACTTGAAGCTTACTACTGTTTACTGCTAACTACTGTTTACTGCTAACTACTGTTTACTGCTAACTACTGTTTCAATGTTTACATTTGACTTTTTGATTGTTTTACATGATTTAAGCGATTTACAAGAAAGTTGGCTTGAGCACAGAATCCCTGTTTGAGCATGATAACGGTTTCATGAATACGGGCCCTGGACTTCATATTGTTATACAATATATATATTGAGCTACCAGATCAAGTGGTCTGGCCCAAATGTGCTACAGTTATACCAAACTGAAGTTAAAGGGAGGTTATCGTATATATTGAAAAAAAAAAAAAACCACTGTGCAGTGGGACAGAACTACTTAAGATAAGGACCATTCGTGAAACCAGGTTAAGATCAATATGATCAGAATTACTCATAGTTATATTTTACTCGTCCAAATCGCTACGCACTTCTTTTGAATGAAACGAAATTCAAATTCGACTTAACAAACAACCGAAACAAATAGCGAAAGTGTCTCCCATGGCAACCAATCAGTGTTGTTTTGTCAGAGTATCCCGTGATGCAATAATGTCCTTTAAAAATCAATTATTGTCTTGAAACGCCAAATGAACAGCATGGGGGATTTATTTTTTTGAAATGTGGTTTCCTTTTGTGTCATAATCCATTTTGGATACAAATCAATTCGTAAATATTGACAAATAAATCCGTTAACAGCTTCTTGTCTCTATAAAAATAGAGTCACAGCACGTTTCCCCCACTCCTTCCTCTAAAGCATTTTAAAGATTCAACAACTCGAGACATTAACAGATTGGTAGGGTATGCAATGATGTATATAGGGATTTCAACATAAATCAATTTTTCAATCATCTTTTTTTTCAAAATACATACATAATGTGTAGTGTTTGTTTATCAGCATCTACAGACTTTAGAAAAAATATCAACAAAACCTGCCACAAAATTGAGGTCAATAGGTTCGTTGCAGCATGGTTACTCGCTCAAAGATATAACGGTTATCGATTGTGACAACTTCAGGAAGATTTTGATTCGGATCAACGGGGAGCACAACTCTTACAAATTTTCACAGTAGCGATTTTCATATTTTCAGCATCACATCTTTACTATGAATTCTTTTTCTGTTAATTATACAAGTTCGCTGCTGGAAACAAGCTTATGACAATCCATATCATTAAGATTGCTCGACCATACTGTTCTACGACACTAGTGACGGCTACGAGTAATTACATTCGGGTTACATGATTATCTTGATTTATAATAACACCCGAGGTGTTCAACATTGTTCTTGTATGGTGATACACAGATAAAGACCTCTCTTCTATAACAAAATCTACTATTTACGGCACAAGAGATATCAGTATTTCCTTTTTTACTTTTTCTTAATGATGCCCGTACCACTGCCCTTTGTATTTGTTTTCTTTTAAGGATCCCCGTACCACTGCCATTTTGTTTTGTTTGTTTTTTCTTAAGGATCCCCGTACCACTGCCATTTGTATTTGTTTTCTTTTAAGGATCCCCGTACCACTGCCATT